CAAAAAATCCTCTTCTGATTTCTTTCGGTTAGCCAAAACAGGTATTGTTTACAGAGTGCAAAAGGTTACCTGTAACTGGAGCTGAGCCAATGAAAAAGGAACGCATCTTTAGGTGCCAATTACTTACCTGGTCAGCAAAGCGAGGTATCAGCGCCCTCACTAATTTCCCTTCACCCGTCCTGTGAGAATGGGACAAGCCACATGGTCCGGCCCAGAGGGAGGCTGGCCCCCAATCTTTATTCTAAGACCACGTTGAGGAAGAACATCCTGTGTGTCTTCTTGGGCAGTGGCCAGGGGATCCTTGGAAATGGGCTCGGATGTCTCGAAGAAGAACCCAAGGCTTTCACAAAGAACTGGAAGACACCGTAACTGGTGACCTCAGAGAAACAAAGAGCTGGACCCAGGGCTCCTGACCTCCTCTCCCTCCTCTCCCCATTGTTACTTATCTGACCCCACTTATTGGTGGTAAAAAAAAAAAAAAAAGTCTTTACTGCTCAGTTCCTTTCCATTCAGAAAACAAGAGGCGTGTGTTCACATGTTCAAAATAAAAGCCCAACTTTCATCGTGATTGGCATATGAATTAAAAGTAATGAAAAAAGTTCCCCCAGCCACATAACCTCAGAAGGGGCGGGGCCTCTACCAAGTTTGAGTATATCTGGGGGTGGAGGTGCATCAGGAGGCAAGATATTCAGTGGATGGAGTTAGAGGTCAAAGTGACTTGTTTTGTACAATATCTACCAAGAAAACCACCAAGGGCTTTTCTGCTTGTCTTCTTAAAGCATGTGTGTGCATGAAAATCTATTAGGGGGGCACCAGGACATTCAAGCCGCAGAATTTTTGTACACTGGGCAGGGCAGGCCATCCTTCCCCACCTCCACCACTTCCTACTTTGAATTTTGCTGTCCGTCTGTTACAAATACTCGCCCGTGGGGGGGAGGGCTCCCCAGAGGAGGAATTAGCAGCACCTGGCAGGGTTCAGCTTCGTCAGCAAGAGAAGCTTCCTCCAGGGGTGCGAGGGACCGCCCCAGCCAGGACCCCTTTGTGTCCCTTTGTTCTGCCAGAGCGTGGGGACACAGTCCCATCTGGTGAGTATTCTTCGACAAACACAGGGGCCTTGCTGGGCGAGATGCAGGGGCACGAACATACAAACACACGAGAAACAACAGTCCTGTGTATATTTAACAATATATATTTATATATATTTTCTAAATCAGTACATTCAGTTTTAACTTGTATTTTCTTCACAAACAGAAGAACTCTTACAATAGTAGACTTTCTAAAATAAATACTATTAAAATAGAGCTTCAAAATAAATATTCTATACAAAGGGGACCTTCTGTGGTAACTTTGTTGTGGGGTGAGAAGGGGCTACAGTGAGGGGGGGGGGGGAATAAGTCAGAAGTGCGGTGGGATGGGAACCTCGGACAGCTTTCCTGTTTATAACAGGAAACCAAACTGCGGCAGTGAGAAGCGAAAGCGAGATCAGACACCACACGGAGTTACCCACAGCAAGAATGGCAGCGCAGGAATTGTCATCAACCGTCACAGTAAGCAGGGCATGAAAATGCTTACCGAAGGCAGGAGCCGGAAGGCCGGGGGCGTGGGCGGGACGCCCTAGGGAACGGAATTGTACAGTGCGAAGTGGTGCTGCCCGCACCCCACTGGGTGTCTCCTGGGACAGCATGGGAGAACACGGAGCTTCAAGGTGACAAGCTTCGGGATGCTGGTCCCAACCAACACTTTCCGTGTTGTGCCACCTTGGACAAGTCATTGTCTATCTAGGTCTCCCTCGATGCACAGCGGGGACCCACGCAGACTTCAGAACGCTGAAAGGACCAGGCGAGCCACGTGGTCATCTGTCAGGAGGAACTGGTCTCCGCCTCCTTCTAGCTGTCGAAGCCTTGGCTGTGCAGTCATGGACCTGAGAGGGCTTTGCTGTCCTAGACGTTTCCCAGGGCGCTTGCTGGAGCGTTGGGCTTCCTCAAACCGCCCTTGGGGTGGGGGGAGCACCAAGGCCCCCTAGGACGCGTGTCCTGGACCCAGGCTTGTGCCCCCACCTCCAGGCAGAACCACCACCCACACCAGGTTGAAGAGACGTGGAAACCAGCTGGCATTTCTCAAAAAAGATCAAGACGAGGACTAATTCAGCCAAGCAAGCCATTGGTGACAGGAAACACTATCAGCCAGAGCGGCCCCAGGAATGTGTCCTTTTACTGAGAGCTGGGTCCCTTGGTGGCTCCTGACTGGTCCACAGCAAGCCAGTTTTCTTGTGTTTGTTTTTCCAAGAAGCCGAGAAAAAACATGCTGAGGGACTGCAATGCAACAGAGCTGGGCGGGGGACCGGGCTGTCCGCTCCTTCCCTCCCCCCGCCGGGAGCACACACCGAGAGCTCTGCAGACACCCACCTAGCAGGTTAAATGCAAACTAAAGAGTAAGCCAAAACGGGGGAGAAAAAAGGAAAAAGAAAACCAAAAATCCAGAAAAATCTGTTTACAACTATGTACACAAAAAGTCAGGGTTCAGGAGGCTGTTTGCCAGAAACAGGGTCTATGTAGAGAGAGGGTGGGTCGGGTAGGTGTGTGTGTATACACAGCTTATATAAATCAATTCTCCACAGAACGGGTGTGCAGAACACCATCACCAAAGTGCAACTTGCCACCGGGTCAAGTTTCCCATGGAGACATCTGAGGGAGGAGCTCGGGGAACGTTCCGAGGCCTTCCCAAGAGTGGAGGTGTGCCCTCTCGTTTTAGGGGTAACCTATTCTGAGGAAAACACCTCCAGTCTTCAGTACACGTCTGATACATTCAATTAGCGTAAGTGGTTGGCTGAATGTGTTTTTTCCCTACCATCCCCTCCATTTGTGCAAGAACATCCATACATCCATCACGACCGTGGCACGGGTAGCTACGTGAATCAGCCATAGAAAACGCAGATGCAATATTTCCTATTTGCCTTTTACAAGCTAGCAAATGTTATATAAATAAAGCCTTTTGAAAATAATAAGACCCTCCCCTCCTCTCCGCCCATCAATAAATACCTATGGTTACAATTAACTTATTCTAAAATCATAAGATGTTACTACTAGTCTTCAAGGGGGAGGGGAAGTTCTCGAGAAGCGCTGGGTGCACCCAATCACAGCTACGCGCCTCCTCGCATCCTTCCTGGAGGCAGCTTGTGTTCCTCCAGGACAAACTGGAAGTGCGACAAGCGCTCTACACCTACTGCACTTCCAGTTTCCCGTGGGGTGGCTTTTCTGACCCAGGCCACTTCCTCTTGTGGGGGAGGGGAGGGTGGGGGGACGACACAAAATACCACATGAAGCAAGAACCCCGCACAACACTAGGGAGAAGGACCAGACACTACAGCGTCTGCATGCAACAAGTACCTACCCACTGGACGTGCTGCACTTTCCGAGTTCTTTAGCACCTTGAGAGAAAGAGTTGCTACGTCTTGGGGGGCTGTCGGGAGGGGGTGGTGTGGCCATGCACAGAAGCAGGGCTCAACCCCAAGAAGCCCCTGGAGAATCTTCCCCCCACCCGCATTCTTCTGACTCCCCACCAGGGCTTCCTAACACTAAAATAGACTCTTCTTTTCCATCCTCTGTCTATTTACATTAAAGATACAGACACATCACTGTACATAAAAGGCTATGACAGCAAGCAGCAGAATCAGAAGAGAAGAAACCGGCACCCATCTCGGCTCCACTGTCCCTCTGCCAACGCGAGGTGCTGTCTCTCTTCTTTGCTGTTAAAATCCTCTTCTTGGTGGGGTGGGGGGTTGTGTTCCTTAAGGTTGCTCGCCCCCCCAGATTTTGAAATCAGCCCTTCCTGGGGGTGGCCCAAAAGGAAGCAAGTGTTTGATTATTATTTTCTAAAACACCGTTAGCATCTGGTTTAATGACTCTATAAAAACACAATGACCGGGTCCAGAGACCACAGCCTCAGACTCATTGGCAAAATGGTATTTGGTCTTGCATTTGCCGCCCTGGGCTTCTCGACCCATCAAGTTTCTGGGAAGGATTTGGGTGGAGAGAACTCAGGACAAGAAGCAGGCAGGCGAGTCTGTGACTCAGTAAGAACCGCAGGACGGTGTTAAGAGAGCAACAACCCCACGAGGGATGGAGCTGGAAGGGAGAGGTGCTCTGTGTAGTGGCTCCTGAATCCATCCGAGGCTCCGGGAGACAGAGAGAGGGAGCGAGGCCTGGACTCGCGGGCCAACCTCTCTTCTCGAGGGCTCCCAAGTATATACAACAGGGACTGCCAGCCAGGGTCCACACCTTCCCCAGGATGTCAGGCAAGCCGTGGGGTCGGGGAAGAGAAAAGATACAGCCATCAAGACTGCACGGTTGTCTTCAAAGGTCCCTTGGCCACTCTGTTACGGGTTCCTCCCAGGCAGCTAAAAAGAATGGGAAAGAGGGGGGAGGCAGGGAGGGAGGAGGGAGAACTGGGAAGGCAGTCAAGCAGCTGCAACTTCCGGCTATGTGGCCACATCTGTCTTCTGGAAAAGAAGAATCCTCCCCCCACCACCCCGAAGCACACCATGCCCCCGCCGCTGTCTGCTTCACACCAAGTTCCAGGACCCGCAAAAACCCACAGTGCTGCTTCTTCTGCTTGGGGAAGACAGTGGGTGAGGGGGGGGGTCTCTGTTTCTTCTGAAGCTGGGGTGGCAGCCTGGCAAGGTCACCTCTGATGCCAGAACCTCTGGCCTCGCTGCAGTCTTCTCAGGTGTCAGGAGGGAACCCAGTTCCCAGGGGAGCGCGGGGGGCTTCGACCCAAATGTCAGAAAGGCTTGTCGGGTCTGCTGGCCTGGGCGTCGCCAGCGGCCGCCTTGCAGATGACGCTGTTCGTGTGC